AGTTAGAAACAAACCTGCTGGTGTGTGTATGCATTCTGTGGGATATATCAGAATAACTGGGCTTTCCTAGTTAGAATGGACCTTCTGGTGTGTGTGTGCATTCTGTGGGATATATCCCAGTAACTTTGGCTGTGGGATATATCCCAGTAACTTTGGGCCTTCCTAGTTAGAAACAAACCTGCTGGTGTGTGTGCATTCTGTGGGATATATCAGAGTAACTCTGGGCCTTCCTAGTTAGAATGGAATCTAATGTTATGTAAAACAGAGGTGTTTCATATCTGCTGGAATTCAATATTAGTAGCTGCTCATCAAATCATTGCAGCCACCTCTTCCAGAAAATATTTTGACCCAATTATCAGATCTTTCCAGAGCTCTGAAGGATCTGATTGTGAATCAGGGAAGACTGCTTCCATGCTTCCTTTTGCAAACCAAACTATTTTAATCCATCATAGGGCAGAACATCTTTCCCTTCCTTTTCTCTCCCTCTCTTCTTTCATCTCCTGATCCTTTCAGCAAGTTCACAGTTCATTACCATGTTTACATCAGAATGCATTCATTGCCAGTCACTAACCACTCTTGGGAAAACTCAAAAAATAATATTTCTTTTGACAAGAGAATTCCATTTCTAATTCTGGACAATTAGAACACTTTACTGCCCCACTGAGGAGCAAAATGCTATAAAAAAATGTTAAAAATATTTCCTGTCTGAAGTTTATCCAGATTGCAACATTGCAAAACTGAGTTTTTTCCCTCTAGCAGAGCATCACAAGACAGCATCAAAAATGATAATTATGATAATGATGGTGATAATAATTTGCAGTCACTTTATGTTAGTCATACAAAAATATAATGGTGGCTTCCTTTAATCAGTTGGTTGATAATAAGTAATTAATTTTCATTAATGAAAGTACAACAGCAAACACGGCAGAATGTATAGCCTGAATGTAGCACTTCAAGTCTACCTTTCTCCTAAGATGTATTTATTGTTCTTGCAGGGCTTAAATTAAATCAAAAAGTCAGAATCAGGGTGGAACCAGCACTGTTTGAATGGACCAAGTGGGAAGCAAGCAGAGCAATTCCTAAATTCATGACTGTGGCAGAACTGGTGGAGGCATCTTATGACATAGACACAAGTTACAGGTAATTGTGTCTGGCTGATAAAGCTGTGGGTTTTTTCCCTGAGATATCTTGTCCTTTTATGTGTCATAAATCATTGCAAACACTGCAAAGGTGGGGTGATTCTGATCAAATTCAGATCAAAATAGGATATAGAAATAAGATACGCTGTCACCAGCACATAGGTGCACTGTCACAAATGTCTCGTACATGGGACCAGCCCTCCTCTGGTGCTGCCTTGACATTATGGGCATTAATGTCAGGTCCCAGCAGCTTTGTTTTTGTCTTTGGTTCATGTGAAAACACTTTGGAAATGTGAAGAATAACCTGGTTTTCAGTGACAAAGAGATGTGATGTTATATAAAGTCAGTCAGCCCTTGGCTGAGGGTCTGCATGGCAGCAGCAAGAGGTTTTGGGGACAAGCAAGATAAGAGCATTTCACTTCAATTGATGTTTCTGGCATCGTTTTAAGTTGCTCAAAGATTAATATTGTGCTCAGCAAGGACTTTTTGGAGCCCTCATAACTTGGCAGGGTTAGGGTTGATGCCTTTTCTGAGCACTTGCAAACCACAGCCTGGCAGGAAATGATAAACCTCCAATTCAATCTAACTCCTCATCTTGTTCACAAACCAGGCTGCTCAGTGTTTGCAGTGCAGCCAGATCCAGGAAATCACTCAGCTGTCTCTGGGATTTCCCACATATTCAAGAAAGGGGGAAAGGAAACATCTCATGTCTTAACACATTCCTTACAGCCAAGGATGTATCTTTGTGTCAGACCACATAAAGTCTCCAAAATCCTTCTTTTTTTGAAGCACAGGTCTTTCTGGTGGGTTCTTCACTAACAGACTATTCTCTAGGGTTTTTCTTTTGGTCCAAAATCACTTGCCTCAAAAGAAACTGTGCAAATGCACAGCAGTGGGAGGTTCAGAGGGGAATCTTTAATCTCTAAGGCAATGTGAACTACAGTGTTGAGGCCCCTCACAGCTCACTCAGGTCCAGGTAAAAACAGGGGGGATGAACTATGAACTTCCACATAGAATGCCAGTTTCTTCCCATCACAGGCAAGGCTAAAATATCCTTGGGTGCCAGCTGTTATGAATGAGTGAGATCACTTAAAGATCACCAGAAAAGGGTGTCAGTAAAAACCAGATTATAAAATTAAGTGCCAGCACATTAAAATTCATTGGCAAGGTTCACTCTACTACTGAGTTTGTGGGACAGCAGGGTCTGATTTTACCAATTCAACCCCTGCAAATGCTGTCCATCACCCAAGCCCCACCAGACCCCTGATTAACAGCAGTGTGAAGGTCTGGCTCTTAGTTTTTTTGGGTGCCTGAAAAGCCTTGATATAGAAATGAAAGAATGCCTGGTCTCAGCAGAAGTACTCAGATATTTTGGAGTGATGCATTGTGATTTCTGTCCCTGGAAACACCTGTTTTTTAAACTCTAGCAGTGGAAGTCTTTACTATCCATTTGGCCAGCATTACAGATAAGCTTCGTTCAATATAGATTTTTATTTACTTGGTTTATTGAGGAGATTAATGCTTAGGTACCAAATCTTGAAAGCATTCTCGTCATTGTCTGTCTTTTGTTTGGGTTGGAGACCCAGGCAGCTCTGCAGCTCGTGTCTGGGCAGTGGTCCTTGCTGGCAGAATTGCTTAAAGCTTTTCTTAGGCACAAATCCTGCTTTAAATAATCTCCACTGTAAACTACAAGTTTTATTGAAGCCTGGTTTTCCCTGCATCTGGTGCTTTATGAGCTATAAGACAGCCATGAAATTGAATGGAAATTACTCAGACAGAAGCTTCAGACAAGCAGAGGTAACAGTGTGCTGGCCAAGCCAGTAGATAAACCTTTTTACTAAGTGCCTTTTCTCTGGTGTAGTCATTCAATGCTGCTGAGAGTGCATTCATCTAGATTAACATATATTTGTGATTTTATTGTCAGGGGTAACTTCCCACTCTCCTCTCTGGTGCCATCAGAAAGTTATGAAGACTATGTCAGCAGGAGCTCTGCGGTTATAAAACACATCATCAGTGCCTGCCCCTGCAAAGGTAGGAGTTTCAGGTCTTTGAATATTCTGTCAGACCCTTGCAGTAAGAGGAACTGGTAGAGATTTGCCATCAGAAACACATTTAATGTGAGCTTTTGGTACTGCACAGAGCTTAAGGTAGACTCAGTGCTTGCCCTGGGCTACACTGAAGTAACATAAATGCAATTTATGAAATAGAAATGAAAAAAGTAAAATAAAACTGAGACAGTAGAGTATTAAATTGCAAAAGTATATGCTTTTCTTTGTCTTTCTACATCAGGATGTTGTGATGGTGTTCACAGGGGTCTCAGGTTGAGGGAAGAGACGAGGATCTGACTCCATGTTTCAGAAGACTGATTTATTATTTTATGATATATATTACATTAAAACTATACTAAAAGAATAGAAGAAAGGATTTCATCAGAAGGCTAGCTAAGAATAAAAAAAAGAAGGAATGATAACAAAAGCTTCTGTTTTGGACAGAGAGTCCAAGCCAGCTGACTGTGATTGGCCATTAATTAGAAACAACCACATGAGACCAATCACAGATGCACCTGTTGCATTCCACAGCAGCAGATAATCAATGTTTACATTTTGTTCCTGAGGCCTCCCAGCTTCTCAGGAGGAAAAATCCAAAGGAAAGGATTCTCCATAAAAGATGTCTGAGACAGGATGTAGCTCAGCAAAATATAACACGCTTTTCTGGAAAGCTTTTTTCTCTTTGCCTCGCAAATGCCTTCTCTCAGTAATTGGCATGCTCAACACACCAGATGTTTTCTGCCCATCACAACACACTCTGCCACATTATCAGAGGTCTGCAAAGATGAACAGCCCCAAAGCCACCTCATCCCCATCTGCTGATGAAGAATGTGGCAGTGCTGCAGCTCCCTCACCGTGGTTCTTTGCTTTTCCAGGTGTCATCCTCATCGTGGGCCATGGCTCCTCCTTGGCACCGCTCACCCGGGCACTCACAGGGCTCCCCAGCAGAGACAGCAGAGACTTTGCCCAGATGGTGCAGAAGGTGAGAGGGTTTTATTCCATCAGGAAGCCTTTGGGTTGTTTCATGGTGTTTTTAGTAAGGAGATTGCTTATGCAGCAGGACATTTGTAACAGCATGCCAGCACCAGAGACATCAGCTCTCTCATTCCAAAGGGGGTCTCACACAGGTTTAGCAAAGCACTGGAGGTAAAGAGAAGGATTTTATTCTGAGGGCTTTGTATGTGACTGGCAGCTAAGTCTTTGGAGAAGATTTTCCTCTGGAAAGTCAGTGCCATGTAACACCTACAGACAAGAGGCACATTTGGAAACCTCTCCACTTGGAGCTGGTCTCCTTCTTTTCAAAGTGGGAAAAGAAGGCTTTGGGGTGACCCAAATGCAGACTTCCAGTACCTGAAGGGACCCTACAAGAAAGATGGAGAGAAACTTCTCAAGAGCCTGGAGTTACAGGACAGGGGCCAATGGCTTCAAACTGACAGGGAGTAGATTTAGAGTGGATATTAGGGAGAAATTCTTTACTGTGGGGGAGGGTGAAGCACAGGAACAGCTTGCCCAGGTATGAATGTGGAGTGGTGGCACAAGTTCAGCTTTCACCCCTCAGGCTCCCAGCCTCGTTTTAGTTAATTTCAGAAGTGACAGAATATCAGGGGCTGCTCTTTTCTGTAGCAAGGCCCCCACCCTTCATGTCAGAGCAATGACCCTGCTGGTAACTTCCTTCTCAGATCCCTGCCCTGGGCATGTGTTTCTGTGAAGAACAGAAAGAGGAGAACAAATGGCAGATGGTCAACCCACCAGTGAAGACATTAACTCATGGAGCAAATGCAGCATTTAACTGGAGAAATACTATCATGGAAGATTAAAAGGCCATCTCTGCTTTTGCAGTTGTCAAAAAGGAGCCAAAGGCAGGTTATGGTTCATCACAGTCCAGTGATTCATCCAGAAGACACACAGAGGGTGGGAAATGCCCTCTCTGAGCTGTCAAAGCACAGAAAAACACTTCTGAGTTTGGGGCCTGGATTTTGTTTTTATTTTGGTGACTGAGAAGAATGAACTTGAGAGATAGGGCTCAAGTGAGAAATAACACTTTTGATGGTGGTGAGAAAAGCACCTTTTAACCTTTCCTGAGCATAAAAATGTTTAATAAATATAGATATATATATATATAACTACCTGATTATAAACTCCACTCCAAGAGGCACTGAAGTAAACAATGCTCTATGTTTAAGATTGAACTACATCCAGCAAGAATTCCCTCCCCCCCCTTCTTTATTCACTTGGATATTTTCAGACAACAGAAAAATTGGGACTGAAAAAAGTCAACTCCTACCTGAAGAGACAACCAGCTCTAGCTAAAGCCACTGTGTTTCCTGTTCACTCCATCAGTTCTGTGAGAGCAAATACCACACTGACTCTTAATTTACCTCTTCTGTGAAGGGAGTCCATTTTCTATCACATCAACTCCTCATCCAGCAATTCTCAAGCAATGCATATTGCAAAATGGTCTAAATTATTTCTTTTTGAAGGGAAATGAACCAGTTGCTTTACTGTTTTTGGGACAAGGAAAGATGCCCCATGTTACTGTACTGGTGACAAAACTGTGACATGAGCAGCTTTAACTCTAAATCCTCCCAAGGTGGCACTTGCAGCACAGCAGCTTTGCTTTGTGCTGGTTTGTGCTGAATTTATTAATGGTGATCCACCATCCCCATGGGTCATCTGGAAGCTTTCTGCAGCTCTTCTCTATGTGATGTGTTTAATTAACAAAATGTAGCCCTGAAATTTTATGCACAAACAGGAACATGCCTTCCCACTATCCATTTTCCTCCTGCTTTTCCTCTCTGCTTATCAGATAACTGCCTCCAGGAAAGTACAATGTTTCTTTCAATGAAAGGAAAAAATGAAAATATTTCTCTCAGAGCATGGCTGAAAATGTTTTCACTTTCACTCCTCACCACCTGCTCCAATGTGACATCTCCCTGCATGCCATTAGCCATGGGGGCATGCAGAGGAGCCCATCCAACACTGCAGCTTTTGGGGCTGAGAAGTGTCTGACAGGCACCTTTATGTGTGGCTGTAGAGATTTTGTTATCTCAGCTGTGCAGCTGCAAGGATTCATTCTGACTTTTCAGCTCTGGTGGAGTTGCTTGAGCTCTCAGTTTTCTGGCAGTGCTGCAATTTTACAGTGAAAGTCAAATGTCCCAGGGCTAAGACAGGAGCTCTTTAGCGAGCAAGGGCGCAGGACTCAAGCTCAGGGGATGGGTGGCTACAGCTGCAGTCCTAGAAAAAGATAAAAACACCAAATGTCACCACAACCTTTTCTTAATCAGGGGAAGCAGGATGCCACTGCAGTGCTGAGAGAACTGTGGCTTGGCTTCCTGGGACCCCATAAGCACAGACTCAACCCTAAACACTTTTTAAAATCAGAGCTGAAATGATGTCCTTAACATACAAGGTTTCTTGGTTGTACAATGTGGTGCTTGGGAGAGAGAGAGAATTCCTAATGTGGTGTGTACACAGCATGAGACTAATCACTAAACACAGGTGAAATGAAGAAAATGTCCTTGGAATCTTCCAAATTATTTTTGTTGTAAGCAAAAGAAATAGGAAATTACTTTCCAGTTTCTTGGGGCTTTTTTTGTCTTTTTTTTTTTTTGTTTGTTTGTTTGGTTGGGTGTTTTGAATGCAACTTCTAAAATTAGTTGTTGCTTTACTCCATTGCAGTTTTTCTTCACTGGATCCATTTTATTACAAAGTTATGTGCTTCAATAGATGCTTTTAGTACTGCCTTGAGAATCTGAATGTTTTCTTTGTACTTTAAAATGTGAAAACATAAATTCTTTTGATGAAGACCTGCAGTGAGGCTAATCTATGGTGACCCCTTGTGGGAAAACAACCTTAGATTTATATGGCTAAATAAAGTCTGATGTGATTGAGGGATGAGGAGGAAGAGCAGCAATTTTTTGAAACAATAATGCTTCGTCCATACCCTTTGAAAGGATATGAACATCAAAAATTGTATTGTTTGGGACTACTTTTAGGCAGAGGAGCTTGGAAAAACACTTGAGACAAATTCTTCAGAAAAGTGAGATAAAGCATGCTATGAATGTTCTGATCCTGATTTTTCCAAAGCTTTTTCCCTTGTTCCAGCATTAATAATGGTGCAAGGAAAATGCATGGTTTTGCTGAGTCAGAGAAGCCGATATTTCTATTCTTTGCACAATTTTAAATCCCAGGTCAGGAATAAAACATTTGAGTGGATTTTTTTACTCCTTTTTTACTTACTGAGGATCTCCCAAAGGAACAAGTCCTGTTGTCAGGAGCAACCTGTAACACACTAGAGATTTGCACTGTTCTCAGCTTTCCCTGATTGTATTCCAAGCAGGAGGCTTTTTATTTTTTTCAGGAATACCACTGGAGGTCACTCATGTACCAACAAACAGTGCTGCAGGGGAAAAAAGTAATTTAAACTATTCAAGAATGAATTCAGCTTGACTTGATGATGTTAAAATGGAGGTGAATTTGGAATTATGTTGGGCAGATATTCCTCACATTTACAGTAAACTATGACAAAAGTAGCAAGTAAACTAATTATCCTAATTTTATTATAAAAATTTTCTCATAAAAAATCCCCTCCCCACAACATTAGCAGGCCAAGTAAGCTTTGATCTAGCTGCAGTAATAATGGAAATGCAGCACAATACTTCATCAAAAGTAGCAAAAATTAGGAAAATAGAATTAATCTAAAAATGCTCACTGGGGTAAGCATTGGGGGACATCAGTGTGACAAGAAATTGAAAAAAAAATGTAAGATAGGAGAAGAAAGATTGCATGGGAATTTTATCACTGTGTTATTTCTGACAGCTCTAAAAATTGCAAGGAAGAAGTAATAACCTCTATTTCATGTGACTGTTTTCCCTATCTCCACTTTCTCTTAATCCATTTTTATCACTAACTTTCAAACTTTCAGATACATTTTGGTGGAATTCTGAGTTGTAGAGATATGGAATTGTTAAAATGTTTTTCTTCGTTCTGCTAAAAATTTAATATTAATTTCTTGCTCTGAAGTGAAGAACTAGAAAATGTAATTCCTGTTTCAGCAATATCATTACAATATCTCAGCCTAATGGGCCCAACCTTGTTGTTTCACTTCAGAAGCAGAAAAAAACTGCTACTGGCGGTAACTCTCTACCTCAGGCTCCAGGCCTATTAATATTGATACCAAAATTGCCACCAGTATGAGATAGCTAATTAAAACCAGACAGGTATACATAATAATTAAGGTATTGCTTACAAATTATCAGGGAAAAAATTTCCAGAGCAGCTTTATTCACCTGCACAAAGAGAGAAAACCATCTGTCAGTGGAATTTAGTGCTTGTACAACATTTCGCACAGCTCTGCCTTGCTCTGTACTTTTAATTTACTATTCTTGTCTTTCCATTTGATTCTGGCAGCTTCTAGGAGGGTTCTGCAGCTGCTGTGTCCCACCAACCACTTCCTGATTGACAGGTTTTTGGTATCAAAAAGCTGCATAAAAAAAAAAAAAAGCTTTTTTGATGTAAAAAAAGCTGCATTAGCTGCATGTTAAGTAATTATCTGCCTTCTGATAGGGACCACTAGGCTTTGTCTGCTCTGTAAGGATGCCTCTTCCACTGGGAGATGGGAGCAGAGCAAGCAGAGCTGTTGGTAATTTGTGTGGGTGCTGGGGAATGGCAGAAATTCTCCTCCAAGCAGTGGCAACTGTGCAACACCAAGGGTGATGAAACACTGGGCCTGATCTCCAGCACCCTGGAACAATTTCCCTTGGCACCATGCTGGTGACAGTCTAGATGTGACCACATCTCTCTTCACAGAGAGCAGCAGGCACAACTTCCCAAGGACTTGTCCTGGGAAATGCAGTGAGAGACCTCAGAGAAGGAGAGAAAACAATTCTTATCTCTACTTGCTGCACCTCTTGTTTTGCTTCCACATGTGGAATGTGTTTTGGAAATTGTTTGCCTGAAGGGATTTGGTAATTGGATTCTGGTGACGGTTGTTTATATTAATTAACCAATCACTCAAAGCTGTGCCTGACTGTCTGGAGACAGTCACAGGTTTTCCTTTAATATAATATCTTTTAGTATCTCTTTAATATAGTTATAATATAGTATTAATGGAATAGAGTATGGTTTAATAAAGCAATTGTTCAGCATTCTGAAGCAATGGAGTCAGATGCCAATCATTCCCTGTGTCAGGGGCTCCCTGCATTCAATACCCAGACTGGGTTTGGGCAGGGGGACGTTGTGTCTGAGCCTCTCCCAGCTCTGGGCTCCTTCCCTGGGGGAGCTGTGTGCTGGTCCTGGTTCCACATCCAAGGAATTGCAGGAGGAGGGGTGCAGATTACTCCCTTTTAAGAAGGGAAAAAGGGATATCAGCTGGAATTCTACAGAGGTGAGAGCCTGAACCTGGGATGGAGGGATGGCAGGTGCTGGGCTGGGTGGAGCAGAAGAGGAGGACACCCTTGAGGGAAGTTGCTGAAGTTCACAATTTCTGACAGCAGCAGAAATGTTCCTTGTCCCTGCCCACACCTAAGTGCACAGTGTGCCAGTGTCAGAGCTGTGTGTGAGCCTGCAGGACACTGCCGGGAGCTTTGGATGTACTGGAGGTGCAGGAATGTCCAGAGCTGCTGGTGGTGATGGCACCAGAGAGCCCTGGGGAAAGACTGAAGGACAAACAAATGAAGCAGAATCACAGGCTTCACAAGCAGAATTTTAATTAAGCCCCAGGCAGTCAGCAATTCAGTTTGCACATCTGACAGCTTTACATCACTGTCTGGAGAATTGCATGAAATTGCAGATATTTACATGGCAATTGCTCCGGTCAGGAGTTCAGGTTTTTGGGTTGTTTCAAAAAGTCAATGACCTTGTAAAGAAAGCAGGAAATGGAAAGGTATTCCTGCCCTGGAAAATTAAACTGTTCCATGTAATCATATCCAGTAGATAGATGTTGTGTTCATATCAGCAGTTAACTCAAGAGCATCCTCAACAGAGATAGCAGATGTTCTAATATAATCTAAAATCATCTGTCCCAGCAGTGGGTGGGAGGATGGTGGGAAGAGAAAGGAGAAAGGGAGGAAGTT